GTGGTGTCGAAAACATTATTCGTTTTTGGGATATCGTACGAACGAACGGAAGGACAGACGGACATGACTAAATCAACGCAGAATTTTACGTTGAAGAAGAATATATACATGTCCATGCCGGAGACGACTACTTCATGTGGTTACAAACTCCATACTAAAATGAATATACCCTCCACGAAGATGCAGGGTATAAAAAGCGATGACAACACTTATATAGTAGAATGATTTTCATTTTGTAGCAAAATTTTCATATACACGACTTAACAGTAAATATCTCTTGAATGCATACACATATAATATTCAATAAATATGGTAAGGTACATACATGTGTTCATAATATGTTAATACTGGCGAACAATTGCTTAAGTGAGATAACTGAAAATACAATTATATGTTTTATATTAGCATGGATGTGTTTGTGTGTATAGATGTATGAATAAAAGAAAAATTCCATGAAATTATATTTCAAATGAAAATTCTCTATGTTTATGTAGCAGAAGGTAAATTATTTCATGATTATTGAGAAAGTTTCCGACGTTTTAAGTAAAATGCGTGTTTGCTGTAAACACATATGTTATATAAAGTTATTACGATGTTGAAAGTTGATATACATATGTATATATCAAAGAATTAAAATATTTTATCAAGTGAACACTTACATGCAATTGTATAAATTTTGGTAAAAAATTTTAATGATGTAGCAGTTAGTACTTTATAAGTGCATTAGTCACTTTTGTGGCACAAAGGCGTATTCGAAATTAATCTTCTTTTTTTACTAGGACTTGCTCAGTGCCAAACGAATTTCTTCTTCTGTTTTATAAAGTAAATAATTTTCATTAATTTGAATAAAACATGGCATTCGTTGTGCTCACAATCATTCGATATAGATTTTTCTAATGCCATATATATCTATCAGGCCATCAAGCTCAGAGAGCAAATCAAGAATAAATTCCAAATTTATATCGAGTCGGAATTTATTTGTGTGAAGGAAATTTGGTCAATATTATTGGCTCTATTGAATCTACATATTTTTTTTAATTTAAAATTTAAATTTAAAAAAAATCGGTTGGCAAATTTTAACTTTTAGATAAACTGTGTTGACCACAGGCTCCCTTGTACAATGTCGCAAAGAAACTCCTCAAACTTTCCCCTAACGATGATAACAACATAATCAGCGTAGGCCTGGTCGCCGATGCCTCGGCAACCAAACTTTTTAAGCAGAACATCCACCACCAGGTTCCACATCAGTGGAGAAAGAACTCTACCCTGCGGTCACCCCCCCAGCAGTGCAGATTCTCACCGTACCCCGCTGGACTATAGTTTCCGCAATTTGGAATGAAGTCGTGGTATCAACGTCCTTCTATTTAAGGTCCCTCCTATCGCCTCGCATATATGAAAAGTTTTGTTTTCAAATATGCTAGGCGATTTGTTAAAAGTGAGCTTTTAAATGTCCTTTGTAACAATTCTAGGATTAATCCTAAACTCAAAGTTCTTTTATTTTAATATTAAGATAAATTGATGTTCTAGAATAAACTGTTTAAAATAACAGCCCAATATTGTCACAGTTGCTTATGCTTTTAAATATAGCGTTACCTACCGCGTAAAGTAGGCGTTAAACCTGCACGCAGCTATTGTATTATTTTGTATTACATACAAAATGAAAAAAAAAACATCTAAACTCAATTTATGTTTTTTAATGAAAATATTATTCCTTTAAGGCAACAAAAATAACTAAAAGGTTATTACAAATCACAAACGAAAATATAACAAAAGATCACGAACTAAAAATTTTGTAAAGAAAAGCGTCAACAGATGGATAAAATTCACACATTTACTAGAGAACAGAAGAAAAAAGAAGAAAAAAACGCAAAATAATGACAATAAAATACTAACAAAAAATTTTAAAAGAAAAAACATTTCCATAATTCAGGACATGATAATGGTTTGATGTATTTGATGAATATTTTCGTATATCCTTGTCAGTATAAATGTATCTATGCATATGATGTATGTTTGTATAATTTTTCTCATATATGAATGCAATGTTTTTATGTACAGATTCGGTTGTATATATGTACATACATTTTACAAAATTTTATCATGAGGATAACAAATTGTTTTGTGGGATTTTTAAAAATAATATTTGTTCTTTTATTTTTTAAATTTTTGTATAACAGAAGATTTTTTATAGAATCGTTTATATGTACATAATTGCACGTATTAATGTAAGTTTGTATGTTGATATATTTTAAATTTATGTGATGTGTAGAGTTATGTAACACAAATTTTGAATTCAATTTGTTTTTTTTTTTATGTTTCTATTGAATAATTATATTCGAAGTTGAAAAATTTTGTATTCTGTTTGTACAAAGTGAAAATAACGTTTTCATATGATTTTATTATGTTGAAACCACTAACTTTTCAACAAAGTTCCTAAAATTTTGAGTTGTTAAGCCTTACTTGCCTTTGAAATAAATTAATTTTTTTTCCAATTATCTCAAAAAAAGTATTGAAAAAAGTTTAGTTTACGTAACTGAATTAAGAGATGATTTCAAAATTAATAAGTGATGAAGTAGCGAATGTTAAAAATCATGCACATGCGGAAAAAATCGTAAAGTGGGCAAAAGAAAATATATTAACAAAAAAATGGTAGAAATTTTTGGATATTTTAATGAAAAAAATATTGAATTCGAAAACATATTGAAAATTTTTTTTTCCTTTATTAACAAAAATTTCTAAATGATTACAATAAAAATTGTACTTGCAGAACTTCATTTGCGCTTGCCAGTTTCTAATGCACTAACAGTATGAATATTTTTCATGGTCAAGAATATTTGGATTTCGGAAAAGTCTCTTAATGAATCACTTTTAATAAAAAATTATGATTGTTAAACAAACGGCGCAAACTTTTGTAATCAGACCTTGAATACAGGACTTTTTTGCGGGTCAATTTTAGATTTTTGTCCATATGAACAGAAATAATAACCAATTTCCTTAAAGTTTAAAATTAAAATTTAGAAAGTTAAAACAATGAACATATAATTTTTTTGGAACGATCAGGGTGCAGAAATAGAACTAGGGGCCGAATTTACATTTTTATCATATCTATGGAGCTAACTGATGAAATTTCTTGAAATTTGATATTTGAGTTCTGGTTGTTACCGAAACCTAACATTTCAGGGAACTCGGATGGCACAAACGGAAACTCTACTAAGACCTAATTTTACATTTTTCTAGGTATTTTAACTAGCTAATTACGAACGAATTAAGTTAATAATTTAAATTTGGTCTTAAATTTAACAAAATTAGTTAACATTGTAAAAGTAAAAGCAAAACTATATCACATTCAATAGAAATTAATTTAAATTATTCTTAAGTTTATTTAATTCATTAATTTTTAAATATATCAGAATTGGTTTCTAATAAATATTGGAAATCTAAACTGGAGTATGATGAATTTTTTTCTCATTGTAGCCTGAAAAAAGTTGACAAAATTAAAATTTGGATTTTTCTTAATTGAATCATATTTGAACGCAACAAGTTTAGCTAAGTTGAGCTGCAGTTAACTTAAAAAAAATATTGCCTTGGGTTTCAAATTTTAATAATGTAAAACTTTAATAATGACTTTAAAAATTTTACATTGAACACGATTAAAGCAAAATTTGTTCTCAAATTTTGCTATAACATTTAAAATCATTTACAAAGCATTTAAAATGACAATGATTTCAAACGCCAAAGGACGTCATGCACACATATTAAATTGCATACTTAACCAATTTGATCGCATTTTCCCTTTTAATAGTCTTACATAATTCCCATATAGTGGCATTTGATAGAAGTGTCGTTGGTAAATAATAATATATTCTATAAAAAGAATATATTTTTAAAACTTGTATAACTCAAATGATCGAAATTCGATTAATCCTTTATTTCATGGAATTTGATGTTCGATTAATCCTATATTTCAAGCAATTTGTTCTTTTAAATCAAACACTGAGTAATAGTAATAAAAACTTTGCTGAAAAAGATATTTTCTACTATGAAGAATAAATGAAACAAAAATTTTATAAATAGTTGCAGTTGTAAAAATGCAGTCATTAAATGAACTGAAAAATAAGTCAGAAATGGTATTAAAAAAGACAATATGCACTGATAAATTGAAATTTAACTAGCAACTAAACAAATTACTTATAATTAACCCCATATTGTCAAAATGATATCCTTTTCTAGAATGCAGTGGTAAAATAAGTAACAAAATATTATCGGTGTGTATCTACAAAAGATAATCGTTCAATCAATAAATTAAATCTTTAGTTTTTCAAAAATATTTAACCAGCTCAATTTTTATCTTAGTTTTGTTTTAGTTCGTTGTCGTTCTGTTCTTTTTCTTTGCTTTTAATTTTTCGAGAATCACGTATAATTGATGGGAACCTGTACAATCTGCCAAAGCATTAATATATTACAAAATAGGGGTTTATTTCTTTTGTTTTTATACTATGAACTAGAATTGAGTAAAACAAAAAGGGGAAAAAATATGACGGAAAACAATTCCAGGATCTCATCAATATCCTTTCAAAGCACAAAACAATATTGATTTTGTTCCTTTTTTTGCTGGGCCATTATAATTCCGATGTTTTTTTTTATATTTCATTTCATCCGCCGGAAGATTAGAAATGTTTCCGATCAAAAAGGTATTTATGTCAAACATGTGGCAAAAATCCCATGAAGATTATGGTTTCTCTTCTTTTTTGTGCTTCTTATTTTGCTGTATATATAAGTATGTAATAATTAAATAGTCATATCTAATATCTAGTAATATTTATAAAATATAAAAAAATCATTTAGTATAGGCAACATAAATTTCAAAATACACATTATGTACATATACATAAATGTAACGGTTATCAGTATTCTTCAGCTATGATAATGATTTTATACATTGAAATACTCTGCATAGCACACATAGAAAAATAATATTTAATTCCCAAATTTTGTTTCAGCTGCTAACGGTACCAAAGATAATTGCCGTACAACACCAGATTCTCCTGAAAGTGCTCGTGCTATTGCACCCCGCTCACCTATGTCACCACAAATACACCATTCATCGTCATCATCATTGGCGCCCCCGTTACCAACACAAAGACCAACTCGTAATTCTAGCTCATCGCCAGTTGTAAATGGCGCAACAACAACTCCACCACCTCCATCGTCTCAAACACAACAGCAAACAAATTCGAATAGTAATGGTAGTAATAATACAGGTGCTTTAAATGGTCCTATAGCTGGTGGTAATGGTCCAATAAGTGCCAGTGCGCTGACATCAGCTTCATTATCACATTTAGAACAAACAAGAGCATTATGTAAAATACGAAGATTTTTTGGTTCATTGATACAATTTGGGCAAGAAGCCCACCCAGAAGCCAGTGATAGAATACGTGCTCTAGTTTTATCGTTAGCTGTAAGTTTATTTCTTCTATATTTTTGAACATCAAATTTTATTGATCTGTTTCAATGTAGAGTGGAGGGATTTCGATTGATGAGTTCCGTATAACATTACAAGAGGCTACAAATTATCCATTTAGATCATATGTTATTCCGTTTTTAAAAAGTCACCTACCATTATTGCAAAGAGAAATAACAACATTAGCAAGAGCAAATAACCAAGTTAGTATAATAAAAACATTAAAACAAAAATTAATTTAAGAAAGGTTTCCTTTTAAAATTACTTTTATAATTTCAATTATCATAATAACAAAGAATAATTAAAAAAAAGTGAAAGTTGAAGCATCAAATTACTAATAATAAACTTTTCTAGACGACTTTACAATATGTTACCACAAATGATACATGTGCAATGGAATTCACTCAAGGGCCACCTGATCATCCAGATATCTTTTTACCAATTGAAACGGGACCAAGTCCTCTAGCATTGAATGGTAGTGCTGGAAATGGTGGTAATAGTAATACATCAAATGGTGGACTTAGCGGTTTGGTGTTTAAACGTCGCCCATCCGATACATTATTGGATCACCCACATAATGGTGGCGGAAGTATACAAGATTGGAACGATTATATTTATCCACCTACTGCAAAACGACATTATGCCGGTGAAGCGGGTCGGCCAAGTGGAGGCACTGTTCCTGGTGGTGGAAATGCAGGTGGAGGAGGTGGCTCGAGTAATAATACTTCAAATCCTGGTCATGGTCCAACAACACATATAGGCTCAACAAATCCAACAGTAAATAGTATTTTTAGCAGTCAGCATTCATCATTATTTGAATACCAGCATGCTGCAGCCGCAGCTGCTGCGGCGGTTAATTCATTTCAACGTTCTGTTGCTGAAAATGAAAGTTTCGGTGCTCTTTTAGACAAGGTAAATATTATAGCAAATTGGGAATTTTAGTAAGAAAAATTTTGTTTTTTTTTTTATGTTTTTATCGATGCGTTTCATAATTGGGCATCACTAGGATTTTTTTTACCCCTATAATTTATTATCACAACAAAATTATTTACCACACAGGGATTGCGGTTTTCATATACGTATATGACATCCCCTTGTTAAAACCACTGAAATTTGCTTAAATTTCTTTAGAAATAATTGTGACCTTCATTATTATGTTTCATGCTTAAGCTTATAAATATCTAGCTTGTAACACTCGTTTATTAAAAATCCTTTTTATTTTTTTCCTTCTTTAATATTATATAAAATAAATTTATATTTGAGAGGGTCGTCAAAAATAAATCCTGTAAAAAAATCAATTTCAAAAGTAAATATTTGTGGTAAAATTTTTTTTATCTGAAATTACAATCAATTTCAATAAAATAATCAGAATTAAGAGAGCAAAAAAAGCATTTTTTTACTAGAATTTTATGCAAATTTTTTATAACATTTTTCCAATTTTTGTATAGAATACGTTAAAATTTCCAACATTTTATCTACATGAAAAAAGAGATAAATATTAACGTACTAAAATAATCTTTTTTACTCCGTTGTCATTTAACATTTTTCTTGTATGTTTTATCGTATTCTTGCAGTCATCTAGTCATAGAATTACTGATGAAAGAGATTTACGTATTGGTGGTGGTGGTAGCAGTTTAAGTGGTAGCGGTGGTCTTGGTGGTATTGGTAGTCTAACTGAATCGCAAAGAATTGCAGCAAATCGATTAAACAGTAGTGGCGGCGGAAGTGTTGTTGGGAATAGCGTTGGAGGTGGTAACAGTAGTGGTGAAGATGAATGGAAAAATATTCATACAATGTTAAATTGTATATCGGCAATGGTAGATAAGACAAAACGTGCTATTACAATATTGCAACAACGCGGTGTTGATCCTCAACAATCAAATACGTTAATGAGTGGCAATAGTGGTGGTAGTATAAATAATAATTATTCAGCAGAAATAGCTGCTGAAATACGTCGTCAAACTGAAGAAAAAGTAGCAGAATTAAAAAGAAATGCTGAAGAAGCTGTTAATCAGGTATTATCAATGATTTCCACATTTTCTTATATTTGCCTAGTTTGGAAAAAGTGCATACTTATGCATAATAGTTATATTATAATAGAATATATTAAGTTACAAGCAAATTTTCATATACTTTATATATTATTTAAGTAAACTTGTACCTTACTTTATTTTATTATAATAATCTTATTAGTTAGGAATAATTCCCGTCGGAACAATAACATTAGTTTAATAGAACAATAAGTTTCTCTTTCTGTTAATTTCTTATCTTTTCTCTTCTTTTTATTTTTTTATTAACATCACATCGTTATCAGGTGAAACGGCAAGCTGTTGTAGAAATTCAAAGGGCAGTTGCAGCTGCTGAAAGTCGTGCAGCTGATATAATGGCACAAGAGAGACTTAAAATGGAAAAATTTTTTGTCGATATGACGAGACATACAGGTGATAATAGAGATGTTGAAAATAAATCTCCATCGATAACAACAGGGCAAAGTGTAAGTTTGTTTAAATTACACTTTATTTTTGTTCCCTTTTTATTTTGTTATTAAAAATAATTGGAAGGTAAAAATTTTGAATTAGTTAATGAGTGAACGACACATTTAAATTTAATATGATAAAATTTTTTTCTTATCATCTAACTAGGCTTGCTGGAATTGTGGGCGTAAAGCTAACGAAACATGCTCAGGCTGTAATATGGCAAGATATTGTGGGGCATTTTGTCAACACAAAGATTGGGAACATCATCATCAGGTAAATAATTTGTAATGGTTATTTCACAAACTTTTCTTATACACTTATCACTCGCTTAACGTAAGCTCCTTATACGAAATTTCGGTTGTACGGAATTCAAAAATTAAACCAAAGTCGCTTTTTATGGAAAAAAAAACGCTTTACGGAAAATTTTTAATATGCAAAAAAAAAGTAGTCTAAAAATTTACAATTTTTATAAAAAAATCTTATTCATAGGAATTTTTTTGTTTGAATGTATCCATGTACAAGAAATACATAACGTACATACATATATGTTAAATATTATGTAGGTACATAAAAACCATTGTGATTATATATGTACGTATATAATATAGAGTATATATTATATACTCTAATGTTTTATATGAAAAAGAGATCAGAGCAAAAAAATGCAAATAATTTATGTATGTAATTGCTTTTTTTCCAAAAATTAAAATTTGTTGATTCTTGATGTCTAGTTTTGTAATAATAATAAAATAAACAAGAAATATAAGCGCCTATATAATTTGGATAAAAACTTTTGTGGTTGTAACGTAATGTAAATAAAAAGATTCGATTTACGGACAACATTTCCAGAACATATTAGTTTCGTAAAGCAAGGAATGAGTGTAGTTTAAATTGTTGGTTTCTCTATAACAAAAAAAAACTAATTTTTTCGGCGTTTGTTTTGCTCTCTATTTTATTTTTTTTTGCAAACAAACAGATTTGTGGTAATACAAGATCTGATGTAACAACTGCCGGTTGCCCTCCAAAACATTCAAGTGCAGTAGCTGTTGCGGCAGCTGCTGCTGCAGCTGTGGCAGCTGTAAGACAAGGACAAATCGCACGGTCACCTCCTGTAGTAACAAACAGAGATCGTGATGTAACTACAACTGTAACACAAAATTCTGTGAGTGCAAGCGGTGATCGTAATGCAGTCGTTAATTCAACACAATCTGCATCAAATAATTCAATTCAAAATGGTGTTAATTCTGGTAGTGGTAGTACTGGTTCAATTGGTGGCTCAAAATGACGTATTCGTATGATGAAACCGAAGAAAAAATATTTGTGCTAGTCAAATTAAACAAAAATAAAACAATAAAAAGGATAATATTAATGCATATTAATCGAAAAAAACAAGAAAAGAAAATTAAGTTTAAAAATAAATTAAAAATATTCTCTAAATGTATATATATATATATATATAAGTATATATATACAATTATAACATTAAACAATTAACATTAAATTAAAACATAAAAATATAATATAAATGTTAAGATAAATTTGAAAATGAAAAATAAAATTAATTAAAAGCATTTAAAATTACGAATTGATATTTTACATGTCAAAGTATGAATAACATTTTTTTTATTTCTTGTTTTTCATATGGTAGAGTATATTAGCAATTTAATATCACATTTTTATTACAGAAATTATTTTTCTCTGTATTAATTGTAATAATTATACAAATAATAGATTTAGAATCCAATTTGAATTATCGTCAATGCAATAAATTGCAATTATAAGCACCGGAATGGATAACTGTTAGTACATTAAAAATAAAGAAATAAGTAAAATTTTTATTGAATTTCCTTGTTTTGTTTTTGAAAATTAGTCTTAAATTGGGTGAAAATTCTAGAAATCTTGCTTAAAATATTATTTTATTTAAATTTTATCAAAATCTGCTTTTGTTAGAGAATAATTCTTATGTAGCACTTATTTTCAAAATTTTATATAATTCAAATATCATTATTCAATCGTATTTGTATGTGCATCTTGTAATTTCAACTTCTAAAATTTTAAGTTAAATCTCGTCCCGTTCTAAAACCTTGAAGTAGTCGAAATAAAGTCAAACCCAAATTTTTTGATTTATGCATGTAATATTCGTTGTTAAAATTAATTTAATAAAAAAAACATACATAGTACTTCTTAATATCCAAATATTTAATTAAATAAAATTAAATTATTTCAAATATTTAAGGAATAAAATGTATATTTTTTAATATTGGTTTTCAAGATTACACATAATTTATTTGTAATATCGTTTGTTATTATCAAATTTTTTTTGTTCTAGTCTCAAAAAAAATCATATGTATATTTTATGTATGTCATACGTATGTGCTTACAAATTATAATCTTTTTAATTATCATATAACAGTCTATTTCTTACTTGACTGAATAAATTTTAGTTTAAATTAATAATTCTACAACAGAATTTACAAAAAAAAGGAAAAATCGTTTAATTTATTATAGACAACTTAATAATTTTAATAATATTTCTAATAAGGACGTATAAAATATATTAATTAAGTAATATGAAAAAAGCAATTGTAAATATTATCAATAAATTCATTATTTAAAGAAAAAACTTTACATACATTTAAGTAAAATAAATAAAATTGAAATGTTCAATTATAATTAACTAATATTTTAATTATAATTATAATAAACTAATTATTTGAAGCTAATTTTAAATATTAATAGAAAAAACATAATTAATACGGCGAATTGCAGAAGTAAAGCAAAATTAACTGTAGATAAATTTTAATAATATTTTCTCTCTTCCTTTCTGTTTCATTTTTATAAGAGTCTTATTTAATATACATACCTGCATATAAGTACTCAAATTTTAATATTTTCACCTCTAAAACACATTCATACATATTTGATAAAATTAAATTATTAGAATTCGCCGTAAGATATGTTGTAATAAAATAAAATAAAAAATGTTATTTAAATAATAATGTGTGTACTTTTAAGTGTTATTAAATAGTTTCCTAACTATGTTTTTATGTTTTAACTATATGAATAGGCTAAAGTTTATTTTTCTTTTTAAATTCTTTGTAAATTTCTTAATAATTCTTTTTAAAACAGAATCCCCAAAGAAAGTGAAATTCTTAACATATATGTATAATTTTAAAAATTAATAAAACTTAGATTTAATTAATGTAAAAATAATTTTTTGTTAGAGTAAATATAACAAATTTTGAATATGTTTGCTTTTAGTTTTTAAATTTTAAATTATTATATATATTTTTTATTAATTTTTAAATAATTTATAGTTTTCAATTAGAATTTCATATTTTATTCTAGTTAAGAAATATTGTGATTTAATTTCATTAAAAAATAAAATTATATACAAAGATTTCATAATACCTAAAAAAATTATACAATTAGAATAATAATCATCTATTAATTTCATTATCAATATAACATTCAATTTGTTATGAATATTGATAATATTTAATTTTGAAATTAAAAAAAAATTGTTTTTTATTATTTTGATAAGCAAAATAAGAATTTAAAATTAAAAAGCAAAATTTGTTAATTAATTCTTTAATATACTAGAAATATTTAAAAGAAAATAAAGAAGAAAAAAATAAATAAAAATAAAACTATGAAAGAAAATTTAAAAATTATACAATTAAAAAAAAATTATTAATGTGTTTCTCTTTTAAAAAATGCTTAATACATACTATGCAATATAAAGTTTACGTTTACTTAAATATGTGACAACATTTAACTAAAAGTGAAATTTGCAGGTTCCTCGGAGTAACAGAGGAAAGTTGCGGAGGAACATTTTTGTAATATTTTACCTGTACGGTTTGAACACTGTTATTACAAGTAGGAAAATTCCTAAAATTTTGTTGTTACTTAAAGAAAAATGTAATTATGCGTTCTCCAACTTTTAATTTTGAAACAAAAATATTAATTTCTTATTAAAATACAGGTGAAACAAATACGACTTTTGGTTGTGAAAATCTGAAACATTATTTAAATGTTTCTTTAACTAAATTTAGCGAGAACAGAAATAAGTTTCTAGCCAAGATCTAATTGTGAACAAAATTAAAATTTTCTATTGTAAAGGTAGAAGTTTTGTAAACCAACAAATGAACAGACAGACGCACGGAAAGAGGGATACCATTAATATTTGCTAAATATTCGGTGACATTGAATAAATTAAAATTGAATTTCATTTAAGGACTTCATTTTCTCTTTTATTTTAACAGTTGCAATTGCTACACTTCATCATAAGTTATATAATATAAATTTTGAATCAAAAGTTTAGTCCGCATTTTCAAATACGTTATATTCTAGGTGTGTAATAGTGATGTTAGAATACTAACTACTCGTTACTTCAAGGATTCGAAGTTACATTTTATAGACCAACTCGCACTTAATGCTCACACATATTTTTTCATGTATCATGTACCTACTATTAACTAGTATTGTATTTGTTATGTACTTAATATCCCATGTGACAGACCTGTCACATTCTGATTAGAATTTTTTCATGTGTTTCATTTTCAGAATTAGAACTTTTTTATGTGTTGTTGTATGGTAGCGGTTAATAAATGTAATGTTTATTACATTAAAACATTGAGCCTTATTCTAGTTGTCGAAGTAGAGCAACAATTGTCGTTAGGACTTCAATTTGATATTCTAAGCGGCGATCGCAGTGATAATCATCGGGGAATAGCGGGAAAATGTGTTTCAGCTATATTCCAGTTGTCGTTCTGATGCGAGATATGTCGTAGTGAAACGACGTTTTTTGTCGAAAAGTATTTACAAGTGACAAGAAAAAAGGATACACCAAAAATGCAAGTTAAAACAAAACAATTTAACAAAATCAAAAAAAAATTAATTTTATACATAAATCAAGTCATAAAATATATAATTTAATTTTTGTTTTTAAAGTGAAAGTATTTATAAATTTGAAGAATTGGAAATTTCATGACAGAGAACGCCTTTCACGGGTACTCGTTTTGCCCTCAAATATATTCAGTAAATATACAAAGGCCTACTTTGGAAGTCTGTAATAGTTTATAAATCTGTGAATAAAATAAAATGTTTGCAACTAATTTACTAAAAAAAATGTGGCAAATCCAATGGCTAATCTTAAATCTTTCGATCCTTAATTGTTGTCTTTTTTTAATTTCATCACTACCATAATGCATCACTACCATAATTTCATCGTAAACCATAATGCAAATGACATTTTTCATTATTTAAAAATATAAATATATAACCTGAAAATTTTTTTTAGTTTAAACTTTACTCGCCGAAATTTCTTTTTAAAATGTATCAATATCACTTGAAATGTTTTATATTCGATTATTTCTCGCACTCACGTCACTCGACAACCAGAATACCACATTTCAAATGATGTGACAGCGACAACGACAAATGCGCGACAACTAGAATAAGGCTCATTGTACTTATGTACCTATAAACGGAGAAATGTTTTTGTTCTACATTTAAATACTGTCAATTTTTTATGTATGCAATGGTAAATTTAAAATTAATTGAAATAACGTAAACATTCGAAAGAGCTTCAATTTTTTTTATTAAAGAGGTTCTAACATCCTGGAGCCATAGTTTCTATCAACTTAATTCAAAAAATGTGCTCCCCGATCCTTTAATACAAGCTAAAAAACAACAAAAACTTAAAAAAAAACATAAAAGTGGCATTATTTTTTTGAACCTTACTTTTGCGAAGAGGCCTGCGACTTTTCAAATTTCTTTTCGCAAATTGAAGTTCTTTATGAGAACCCAGAAATATATTTTTTGAATTATGTCTGTCCAACGTTTTGCTCCTAAGATACAGAGATTCATTACCAAATCTTAGATTCGTTACAAATATAATTGATTAATATTCACTGATCATATAGGTTTACTTATTATATATTATATAGGTTGTCATTATAATTAAGTTAGGACGAAAAGAGTAGTCATTGGAATCACTGTTCTTTTTCACTGTGGTTTGAACTGAGTTAATCACTGTGATTAAAAATCTTACTTTTTTCCATTATTACGGAAATACTGAACATGTCAAGTAATGGGTTAAAAGTAACGAGTAAAAAGTAACGAGTATCAATGAATACCACAATTGAATTGCACATTCCTAGTGTATAAGACAAGTGAATTGACATCAAGACAACGCATTGAGGATACCCTAAAATGCAACAAGTCATAAATAAATTAATAATATCGTAAATATTATATCGGAATATTTATCTATACCCAGATTCTCTTGTAGGAGTAATACGTTAGTTGTTGCTTGGTGATGCGTTATTATTTAAATATGGTGCTTTTTAGCACTTTTCAGAAAATTTTTTGGAAAAAGTGCTTATTAGTTTTATTCTGTTCGTCACTGGACTTGTTCACAAAAGTTTTACACCATTAAAGATAGTTTTTACTTATTTTCTTCTTATAAAAGTTTTAGCCCCCCCAAAACCCCAAAAATGCCATTTTTTAACTATTTATTGTAGCAAAACCAGACATAGCGGCTACCTAGTTCAGCCGTAACGCACCATTTTGGAACTTTAAAAAAACAAAATGGCCGTTAAAATATACCGTTATTTAAAATCCGTTTTTTTTCAAATTTTCGATATCGTTTTTCTTCTAGACCTCAAGAAGCCTACTATAAGTAAAAATGCGAAAGTCGCAAATTTTCGTTTGTTGATTTGCGATTAGCAAGTGGTTTGGTACTATGTAAAAAAATCGCATCGCAAAAAATTTAAAATTGAAAGCATTTTTTAAAATTTTTTGTTTTTGACATTTCTCAGTTTTTCAAAGTAAACAGTTGAATTATTTTAAAATATTCATACAGTATATACATGTATATGAAGAAGGCGATTATTGTTAATTTTTTAAAAGAAAAATATGGATAGCAAGAGACTTTTAAGCCGGCTCAGATTTATGTATTACTCTTCCTTAACAAACCATTTCACTTATTATAATCGAAGTTTGTAAGACTATAGATAAAAAGTTAAGTCGCATAAAAATAAAACTGGAAAGTTTTTTAATAAAATTTACATTGCTCAGTTTTATTTTTTCAAAAACTTAGGTTTTCACAATAAGATTCGTAAACAAAATCGCAAATGAATGAAAAGTATGCGAAAGTAGTATTCTGTAGT